AATTTAATACATACTAATCTCATATAAATTATATATTTACTTGATTTGGTAGGAAATGGAAGGCTTTAGGTTTTTTTCATTTACTGTCTCTTATTGTCCGATATTAAATGCACTTTCAGGTACTCTAGTATTCAATGCATAGCATAAGCTTATATTGAATGTCTATTTATGTATCTGCTGTAATAATACTATAATTTTTAGTTGTTAATTTATTTTGCGAAGTTCAAGTTCTTCACACAAGGGAGCGCTTGGGCAAAGCGACAGTTGAACGATGGTTCTCTGCTATGGAAGGGAATAGCTCTCTATATATTTATGTCTTTATGTGAATGCTACAAAAAATCATACTTTTAAAATATACCGTACCGATTTTCAATCGGTACGGTATTCGGAGTTTTCTATCGGAAATCGTATAATTGGTTCGATATTTGAAATCTACTGTCAGTAGTATTGAATTCGATTTACATTTGGTAGTCGCAGTTCTTATATATATATATATATTATATATATATATATATATATATATATATTAGGGTGATTCTTATTTCACGTTTTTCGAATTTGAGAGTCGGGCTCCCCCTAGGATTTTACTTTAGTGTATAGAGATCATCTTGTGAAAGTTTGAACGAAATCGAATAATTGGAAGTACATGCTCAATGGGCCCAAAGTTATGTAGTAAACTTATGTAGTAATTTTTTTTTTCGCTATTCGATTGCCCCTAATGTCCTTAATTTTAATGCTATTTTCAAACAATTTGCCGCAAAATGTAGGTATGCTCGCAAGGATTCCAAATCAGTTTTATTTTTAATGTACATCCAAATTCAACGAGAAAATTAAGTTTTGAAATAGGCATTTTTATGCAAAATACCCCAAAAATGAACATTTCAAAACTTAATTATCTCGTTTGATTTTGAATGTAAATCAAAAATAAAAACTGATTTGGAATCCTTGCGAGCATACCTACATTTGCGGCAAATTGTTTGAAAATAGCATTAAAATTAAGGACATTAGGGGCAATCGAATAGCGAAAAAAAAATTACTACATAAGTTTATACATAACTTTTGGGCCATTGAGCATGTACTTCCAATATTCGATTTCGTTCAAACTTTCACAAGATGATCTCTATACACTAAAGTAAAATCCTAGGGGGAGCCCGACTCTCAAATCCGAAAAACGTGAAATAAGAATCACCCTAATATATATATATATATATATATATATTTATATATATATATATATATATATCAATTGATTGTTTAAATAACTAGATATCAAAACCACTCAACTTCAGGAGTTCATCAAGTCGAAGGAGTCTTCACTTGTGTCCCCCAACTGTGTTTTTTAATAATATCCCCTCAGGGTTTAATCCTCTCTTCCCCCCCTTTTTTCTCTTATTTTTTTTATCAAGAAGAAGAAGACGAATATTCAATAAGTCCTCATTTAAATATATGTATATTCCAACGTGTGTATGTGATCAGCTATGATTTATGAGGATAACTCTTATTTCATACTACTGCTGCTGCTGCGGTTGGCGTGTCGCTAAACACGGGAAAGAATCATCATATAAAGAAAAGTTTCACACATACAACGTCGTCGTCGTCCTCCTTCTCTCCTTCCGTCCCTCAGAAATATTCAAAGTAAATATTATTAATAAAAATAACAAAGCCACGACGACTCATCATAACGTCGGAGTGATGATACTAGTATAAAGGGTTCTCTTATTCACACTACTTTTGTCTCCTGGCTTAAAATATGACCACATTAGAGGGTTCCAAAGTGGAGATAAAGTGTGTCTGAAATAATATCGTAGGAACACGTAAACTCTGAATGTTGTAAGTAAGCTCATCCCATTTGTTGTGTATGACGTCATGATGATGATCTACACCTCATGGGCTACCCACACCGGCTCCTTAATGCATAAACCTATCCTCTCTTATATTATATTCTTATTATCTAGTCACTTAATAAAGACACTTAATACTGAACACATGTTCCTTTGTCTACGTCTTCTGCTCCCTGTCCTACTGTGATTGGCGACGAGTCTGGGATACCATTAACTATATCCTTCTGTATCATAGGTATCTCCATAAATATGCAACACCATTGTTACAAATAGTCCAAGTTGCGTCATCATTTTCTTTGTCTATTTTGGATCATTTCTTCCTGATCCATTTTTATTCGGGCCGTTCCTTCTTAGGCCGCAATTCCTTCAGCCATTTCTTCCGTATGGCGATAAATTTACGTGTCAAAATAAAGAAGAAAAAGAACTGCCAAACCAAACGAATTTATCCATCTTTCGACTTGCGTAAGCTTCTAAGGACATGAAAAGTGGTATTTTATAAGATGTGATGTGACGAAAGAAGAGGATCGGGAATAATGAAAGAACAGTGGTATTTGCTACACAAAGTATCACTTCATTCGTGGTCGTTGAGGAGTGAACTTCAATTCAGAGAGCCAAGAATGCACTCCTTAAAAATAATAATTGTCTCTTATTCAGTGGCTATATCCATGACGTCATTGGCGAATCCTTAGAAGAACGTCTCCGATATTATTATTAATTGAATAAAATAGCTGATATTCCTTGGAAAATAATGTTCGTCTTTTGTTTGTTTGCTCATATGGTCGATAAATGGATCATTACTCGGACATAGAAACAGTATTATTATTCATCCTTAAAAATGATAATTGTCTTTCTCATGGGCCTGGATCCATGACGTCATTGGCGAATCCTTAGAAGCGAATCCTCCATTAGCACCTATCAATATTAATTGAATATAAATAACGTTTATACTCAAGGAAACAATAAATGTATATTTTGTTATATTTGACGATAAATGGAGCATCCCTCAGACTATTGGACGTAGAAAAATAATAAAACTGTGTTATTTTTTGTTGTATCAACGTACAGCCAGCTTTATTTCTTTATTATCTCACACCAGACAATCTCTTATAAGATATACATGTAAATAAGATTATAATATAAAACAATTTACGTCAATCATTGGGGGATACTTTCTAAGAGAAAAATCTTGTTTTTGGTGAGTTTTCGCCTTTTTTTGTCCCTTAATAAGTATAATTAAAGCCTTAAAGTAAAGTAGCGCATGCATAACATAAATGCCTTCCTCTTTCCCAAAAAGAATTGCCATTTTTTTAGTTCTTCTTTAGTCCGACAGGAGCACTTTGATGCTAGAGCTATTGAAAATAATATAAACAACGTCCTGTTATTATTTATATTTGGAGACGTTTTATCTTTTATATTTCAAATAATCAAACTTAATCCCTTTAACTGGTTTTAAATAGGATTGTGACGTTATTTCATGGACTAGCGGCATCTAACGTTTTAAGAAATAAATGAATTTTGGTCAACTTTTTTTGTTTATTTTTTCCTTGCATGTGCTACTTTACTTTAACGCTTTAGGTATAATTAATCCCTTCTCATCCCCTTAATGTATGAACATAGGTGAGAATATATCCTTTAAAGAGAAGTCCCTTTAAATCAATGTATATATATATATATTCAGATTGACGGAAAGAAAAAAGTATTTATAATAATATAATTCTATGAATATATTCTCTTGAATAAAAATCATAATAATAATAACCGTAGTCCTATAATATTAATACTTTTTGTATAAATGGATAACCGTGATCATAATACAGCTCTATATGTGATAGGCTAAGAATACATTATCCACAATAACACCATCCTTTATTCTTGAGGGAAAACGTAAGAAAATAATTTGAAAATAACTCATATCATTATTATCCATAGAGGGGAGGGAAACCCCCAAAAACGCTTTTTCCATATAAATATATTTTTTTGGTTTTTTTACAGTTTGAGCTTACTTTCATTAAAATAAATTGCATTAAAATTTCTGTAAATATATAAAAAAAGAGTACAAAAACAAACATTTAGTTGAGGAAAACATTCTTCAAAAACGAGCAAACTAATTAGAAAAATTAAGATTGAATTTAACAATATTATCAAGTTGAAAATATATAATCTCCGATCAAAGGGGGTCTTCATGGAACTACGCTTTCGACTTGGTGAATTTTAGTTGGATGAATTCCTACAGATACTTCAGCCATCTAAAGAAAATTGTGGAACAATATTTTTGCTTCTACAACCCACAGTTTTAGATTATTATTTTATGTTATGTTTATGTTATATTATATTTTGTTTTATAAATTGTCAACATTATTTTGTATTTATATTATGAAAATAATCGAATGAAGAAAGCTATATAGATTAATATTTTCTTGATAGTAATTATATTCTATCATTATATTAATAGATTTGGTTATAATTCAAAATCCGATTCTTCTCATCATTTCATATTTTTTTTCTACAACCAATTTGCCCGAATTTGATAACTCACCCAATTTTTTTTGGGGGGGTCAGTTGCCCCTCTTGCCCCCCTGTCTCCTACGCCTATGCTTATTGCAGCTAGGTCTTTTGGCAGGTAGTCTAATTTTAAAACTATAATGTTATTAATGTATTATTTTTACACAATTCTACCCCTATAATACTTTGTCTCCACAGTTGCCATTGAAGTAAAGACCTTAAAAAAGATATAAATTCATTGTTTGGTTTGGCCGGCAGGAAAAATCAATCATCGCAGAAATCAGTGGGTATTGAATCTGTCATTCTAAATTTAAAAGCTCTGATCACCAAAAGACTATCCTCTTACACAGAGATAAAATCAATATATTACAAGCTGGCCGCATCTGAAAACTTGAAATTACAAAACCGTCAATTATATTGCCATGGCCGCCACAACCACTGCCAATACTTATTTTATTTAAATACTGAAAATATTCTATATATATAGTCTACAATTATTATTACTATGTATAATTTATATGCATATCAGATATTTTAAGATCTAACAGAGTCTCAAAAGGGTTCTAACAGAGTCTCAAAATTGGTCGTTGTTGGTGATGGTATGGGTAGGTCTCCTAAGAGAATTTCTAATATATTTTTAAAGCATAGCATCACATCGGCTCAGTGGTCTAGGGGTATGATTCGCGCTTCGGTGCGCGAGGTCCGGGTTCAAATCCCGGCTGAGCCCTAATTTTATTTCCTTCAAAATAATTCGTCTCATCAAATAAACTCTCTAAATCATAAACTTCGGTTCACTAATCATATGCTAACATAAGTTAGTTTACAAGTACTTTTGTTCCCCGTATATCAAGAAAATGTTACCTATATGTGCCATACATTTTAACAGACATATACACTTTTAACATAACATAATCATGCAAAGTAGAAACCTGTCTTGGGCTAAAAAATAACTACAATTTAACACTGCACTACTTAAATCAATATATTGTATCACTAAAGAATTAAAAAACATACCTTCACTTTATTATACTTAAAAGTATGTAAAATACCATTCGGAATTCATGTCTTATTACTTTTTTTTAAGAGTTCAAAGAATATTTTAATATTTTCGATAATAAATATAAGTTTTCAGGGGTTCACAACGAGGAATTCGACAGCTTCTCAGAGGAAAAACTACAAACCTCCTCACTCATGACGCCTGAAGTCTTAACACAACAAGCAATACGTCACTAATCGTTGACGGATAGAAGCGTATGAAGAAAAACCTGTTTATTATGATGGCTTAGATTGTTTTATATTTGATTTTTTTAAGACATGTTTAAGGGATTTTTACATGACATTCTAAACATAATTCTACTATTGATATTTATTTTCATGATATTTTATTGTAATAATTTAACGTGAGAGATAAAAACGAAGTTTTATTATTAAAAAATGTATATATATAAGTTTTCAGATGATTTATTAAGGTTAAAGTTTGTATCTTCATTATTATATATATATATGTATAAATATATTATATTATGTCTGTGTTAGGTATATATATATATATATGTGTGGTGTGTGTATATATATTATATCCGGAAAAACAACTGGGACCATTTTTCGCCGGGACTTAATTTTTCAAGCAGAGCCGGGAATTTATATATTCGTTCCTTCGTATTCTGAACGAATATATTAAAGTCCCGGCGCGGTGATTTTTAGACACCGGTACGGGACTTTCAAAAAACAGTGGGACCCGGAACTTTCATGAATATATATGTATATATATATATGTAAATATATGTATATATATCTATATGTATATATATGTATATATTATAATATATATATATATATATATATATATTATGTATGGTGTGTTTGTGTGAGTGTGTGTGTGTTAAACTACAGTAGAGCGCTTCATCGCTAAGATTTTTGGCTACTAGAAAGTTTAGTCATGTCTTCATAATGTAGGAATAAATTATAAGATATAATCCATAAAAATAATAAAAAATTATTATTTTTTTATTGTTATTTTCAATTTTGATGCCAACCTGATTCTTTTCTCTTCGCATCTAATTATTAAAAACTCATTCACTCGTATCAGAATCTACTTATAATCCATATATATATATGTAGAAAAGAGAATTCATTATGTTTTTTTTCATTATGTAATCATTTCTTTTCAAACAAAAGGAAACAAAAAAGGGAAAGAGATTGATTAATCCCATGAAAATTGTGTTTGAAGCTTTAATCCTCTTTGTGTTTTATTCCATTCTGTGATTAGCAGGTTTGTATATATATATATATATATATATTTCTATATATACGAACGATACGGAATTTCCCTGGTCGTTCATCGTCGTCCAAAAAGCTTTGTAGTTCGTCGTCATCGTCGGGAACGCAATAAATGAACGTTAAATCAAATGTTACATATATGTATATCATATACATATATGTATAATCATATTATAATATATATATATATATCGATATATAATAACAGTTTAAAGTCTTTTTAAAACTGAATACTAGGTGTTACAAATTTCTATCCTCCTTCAATATGTCGATTTTTTACTATATTCCTGGATTCAGATATTATATTTTTGCCACAAATTTTAAATGGTGGCGAGGACCTGAACCCCACTTATGATGAGTTGGGTCTCGTATTGTCTTCAACCGAGAGTGTTACGTCATCATCATACAAATCGATGAGATTAGTATAGCCTGCCATCTTAATCACAAGTTCAAATATTCTTTTTTTAGAGGAAGGAATTACTCTTCCACTATCAAAACAAATAGAAGATCTATTGATTTTTTGTAAACCTCCAAGAGAGATCAAAGATGGCTCATTAATTAGAGTGCTCGGATGGATGGAATGAAGAAACGTTTTGGCAAAAAATGTTTGACACATCGAAGAATGTGGACATGTGAAATCGAGTCCAAGGCTTTTTTTAAATCGATTCCTATGATCGCTCCAAAGTATTCATACCTTCGACGACATCAATAACAGCTTAAACAATTTCTGAAACATCCGAATTTTTTCGGTACATTCTTTAAAAACACTTTTTGAGAGATACTAATCTTTAATTCAGCTCCGGCTCCATCTCTAGGGCCAAAATACCATAAAGATCCTGTAAGAGTTGTAAGAATGGCCTCAGTGATTGAAGTCCGTGTCATT